ATGAGATTGGGGATAGAGGCCAAGATAGATTAGATGGACAAGATGGCCCCAGGGGACTCTCCCAGCACTGATGTTCTTTGATGAATAGGACACTTAGGGTTTGACTCAGCTCTGCCTCTCCTTCATGAGATCTTGGGCACCTCACTTCCCTTCTTGAAGCTTTGGTTTCCTGGAAGTAAAATGGGAGGCTACCCTAGTATCCCTCAAAGTCTATTTTGCAGGACATTAATAGGTGTAAGTTATAAGAAAAAAAGGCTTCCATGATAAAATAGAAAATTAATTTCTGCTTTCTTTAGTGCAGGAACCTATCAGAGACTTTTAATGGCAAATGTGCACTAAGAATCTCTGAGAGGCAGAGAGAATATGCAGTGTTTTCCAAACTTATTTCAAATGGAATCTTTTTTACGTAGAGCATCTCTTAGGACTGGTGTCTGAGGAACACATTTGAGTCACTCTGAACTAGCTTATCTAGAAACTCTGTAGCTCCAATGTGTGATAATTTTAGGCATTCCATCCATCTTTCAGGCCTGGACTTCAGCCCCTTCAAGGACTCATTTCCCTGGCCCCAGCCTTTCCTGGACACTTCCATATCTGGGCTCCTTCATGTGTTCATCTTTGTGTTTGGCTCCCTGTGACTTTCTCTGGCTCAACCCTGGAGAACTCAAACTCTGTCTAGGTGTCCCTTCCCAGATCTCTTGTGGTCCCCAGAGGCCTGAAGGGTGCTGTCTGGGCCCTCATGGCAGGGGCCAATGTGATGGCTGCCCATAGCTCCAGGATGTGGTTTTCTAGTCCCCAATCCCAGGCTCCAGCCTCAAGTTCCCCCTACCCAACCTCCAGCCTCCAGTCCTCAATCAATAGAACTTATTCCCCAGCCCTCTATGAGGCCTCTAGCCCCAAGTCTCCTGGTTCCCAGCTCCAGACCCCTGACCCTGAACCTCAACTCCCCACCCTAGTCCGACTTCCCACCCATGGCTCCCAGCCTTCCTCTCTAAAGTCGTATCTGAGATTTTGGGTTCTAGGGAGTTAACAGGTAGCCCCTTCCCTCTCCCTAGCTGGATCTCTCAGGTCCTTGGGCCCAAGCCAGGGTCAAAAGAGAGCCAGGGCCAGAGGAGAGCACTTACGCATATTGGCAGAGTGAGAGGTGAACCCTACAAAAATGTACAGTAATACCCCCTCCACCCCAACATAAGCCTGTTTCAAGATGAGGGAACACCTTGGATGCAAAAAATATAGATTATGAACTAGAATATTCTCGTGAAGTAAATGGTAGAGGGGGGGTGCAGAGAGGTAAAGGCAGAGGTCAGAAGGAGACAAGGGGAGGGATTGAAGTGGTAAGCGTAACTCAGCAGGTGGTCCTGGGATGAGACTGGGGACCAGGACCAGTCACAAGATGTAAAGACCCATTTTCCAGATGTGGCAGCTGAGGTCCTGTGACTTGCAGTAGGCCATATAAGCATTCAGTGGCTAGTATCCAACCTCAAATTGTCTCCTTGTATTGTGATTCCGATTTGCAGTTTCCAAAGTGCTTTCTTGGGGGTGGGTATAGCTCAGTGGTAGAGCACATGCTTAGCATGAAAGAGATTCAATCCCCAGTACCTCCATTAAAAAAGAAAAAAACAAAACAAAACAATGACCAAAGTGCTTTCTCTTCATCACTTCCTCTTTCTAGAA